TAGATTATTTAATTTTCTTTATTTTTGTGAATTATATTTCATAGGAGTATTTAATTGTAATTATAATTTATTATTATACATATTAATTATTACAATTTTGCCATTAAAAATATTCAAAGCATAAGGACTTTTAGTCTATGCATTTTTCAGAATCATTTCTCTTTATTTTTTATAATAGTTAGATATGCATTTTTCAGAATCATTTCTCTTTTTATAATAGTTAGATATAGATTGTTTTTTATTCGTGTGAATGTTTGAAATTTGTTCTCGATCATTTTTTATATTTGCATTTGTCTCCAATTAATTTCTGCACAAATATAACTATATAAAATCTTAATTTCAAATTTTAGAATTTCAATTTTTGCAAAACACCAAACCAAATCACCACGTTTATTTCAATTACAATTGAACGTAACATTTAAGCTTTGGAGATTTAAGAAACGAATTTCTAATTTTTACAGAGTGAGGCATGAGCATAGTTTTGGTGATTGATGTGTGTGATAATATTTTGTGATAGAGCTTGCACTTAGAAATAAAAAATCATTTGTTGCATCACATAGGAAATAAAAATCTAAGGGCCACAACTGAACGACATCGAAGGATCAAGGCCAAAGTAGCAACAAATCTACTTTGTTCATAGAGCTTGTAGGATCCATATTTTGGGAGGCATTGTTAGACTATCACTTGTCTCACATTGCTTCTATAGAGTAAATGAATCTAGTTTATAAACGTAGTGAGCAACTTTTCCCATCATCAGTTGGTTTAGCGATAGAACCTCATTATGGTGCAGTTAGACTTATCTTCTATAAGTAGTGGTATGTGAACTGCTTTTAACTTTTTTTTATGTTTTCATTATGTTTGCAAAAAAATTGTTTTAGTTTTTCATTTCTTGGCCAGAGCCTCAACTTGCATGCCTTGAGGTTCTAAAATTAGAATATTTTGCTTAAATTGCAATTAAAGGCACTAATTTGTTTTGCAAATAAGCATTTTAATTTTGCAGTCGTGCTCTCTTGTTCACGTTGCACACATGATAATATGTTCACCAACTAATGTAGCAGAAGATTATCATACCATACACAATAAGTACATGACTCAAAGATAATATGATATTGACACCATACAAAGTGAGTATATAGCTGAAAGATAATGTGAAATTGACACGTGATTATGGGTACAACTTAATATGGTACGGAGGATAAATGAGCAATTCCATTTAATTTTGTATGTTACACAGATTCTAAAAAGAAAGACTGTAAAAAAATATTAATTGATATATTGTATATATATATATATATATATTTTTCAAAATTTCACCCTTTATGACTATTTTTTCTCTCAACGGAGAGTTCCTTCTCTCAACGGAGAGTTAGACCAATCCTTTCTCTCATCGGAGAGTTCCTTCTCTCATCGGAGAGTAAATAAGTCTCGTCACTGTTGGGATCGGAGTACCGGTGTGGAGCGGAGTTATTGTTGTCGCAGGAGGCATTGTTTTCATTTAGGTCATGGAGGATTCCCAGTCACAAAATCCGACGGAAGAAGTTGAGCAGCGGCTTAGGGCTTTCTCATTATCGAATGTAGAGACCAAGATAATTGACATCCAATCTCAGGATGTGAAAGCAAGTATTGAGGAATGTCACAAAAGCTTGTTTGGCAAAGTGGTGGGGGATAAGAGAGCTCATCTTTTAGGGGTAAAGAAGGCTATGGGGTATGTATGGAAACCAAAGGGAGTGATGGAGGTTCGAGAGCTCGATAAGAACTTCTTTCAGTTCATCTTCGAAGAGGAGGAGGATAGGACGAGGGTTGCAGGAGGTATCAACTGGATATTTGATAACCAGTACATCATTTTGAAAGGATGGAAAGAAGGATTACACAGTAAAGACGAGTGCTTCAACGAACTCAAATTCTGGGTACAAGTCCATCATGTGCCGCTCAACTGGATAACATCTGATGTTGGTCTGAAAATTGGTCAAGTCTTTAAATCTGTCTCTAATGTTTTAATTAGCAATTTGGGCAATTATGGGGGCAGATTGATTAAACTGTTGGTGACAGTGGATATGACGGAGGCTTTACCTAGATGTGCTTCAATTCGTCTAGACAACCAGAGGGTGGAGGATGTGGAGGGGCGTAAACTTAGAGAAGGGCAATTTGGTGACTGGATGAGAGCAACAGATGGTTTACAAGGTCAAGGGTGGAGGACTGGTAGTTCATCATCTGACTATAATAAAGCTCCAGAACCTGCCCATACAAATGGCTTCCAACAAGAGGAGGAGGTTGCTGGTTGTCACACTGATTCTCCGGGGGTGGCAGGTAGTTCAATCCAGCACAAACAATCTTGTCCAAATCCAGCTGGTCCATCAAATCAAAGAAGGGAGGATTCTCTCCAAGTGGTGCAGGGCACAGACCTGGTGGTGTATGATGAAAATCCAATTTCTGGGAAAATGATATCTATTAGAGAAAAAGCAAATGAAGGGGAGACTATGGCTTTGGACATACCTATTACAGGGGTAGTGCCTATTAAGAATGGAGAACAGGGGGAACCAATTAATACAGGAACTTCTAAGAGGACATGGAAAAGAGTTGGGAAGAGTGTAGGAAGGCTGACTAGGCAGAAGACTGCACCTAGCAAGGAAACTCATAAGACAATGACTAAAAGGCAGAGGGAACAAGAGCAATCACACCCTACTAATTCAATGGAGGGTTCTCATCAGATCAAAAGTGAGAAGAAGATTAGGCTAGACATTGCTGAGGTGGAGAGGGCCAACCTTAAGCCCTCAAGTTCTCAATGAGAGCTCTGGTGTGGAACTGTAGAGGTCTGGGTGGGCCCTCTACAGTTCCCCAGATCAAGGAAGCCTTAAAGGTCCATCACCCTATGTTTACTTTTTTATCTGAAACTAAAAAATCAAAAAAATTTGTTTCTCAAGTGTGTAATAGGCTGGGGTTTGTAAATAGGTATTTTTTGGTAGAATCCAATGGTTCTAGGGGGGGTCTGGTGTTATGTTGGGATGCAGAAATAGAGATTGATCATGTTTATGGGGATAGTTTTTTCATTGCTGTTAAGTTTAGAGATAGAGGGCAGGTTGAGTGGTGTTGGGCTGTTTTTGTGTATCTTAGTACTTGTAAAAGGGAGAGGATAGGTCAGTGGGGGAGGCTGATTCAAGAGAGAGGGGTGTGGGGGAATGTGTTTATGTTGGTTGGGGACTGGAATGATTTGTGTAATTCTGGGGATAAGAGGGGTGGGGTAAGTAGGCCTGCTAGTAGTTTTTGGGGTTTTAATGAGTTTATTGCTCATATGGGGGTTCAGGAGCTTTCTATGACAGGGCTTCATTTTACTTGGGCTAATAATAGGGAGGGTGAAGGGTTTGTGGAGGAATTGTTAGATAGGGCTTTTGTGTCCTTAGAGTGGCAGGCTATGTTTCCTCATACTAAAATTCATAGTTGGTTCAGAAGTGCCTCTGACCATACTATGTTGGTTATTGATTCTAAAGGTGGTTCTGTTAGGCATAAAAGGAGATTTTTTTTTGACAAAAGGTGGGTTAAGAAAGAAGGGGTGCAAGATGTGGTCAAGCAAGCTTGGGAGGGGGCAGTAGAAGGCACTCCTATGTTTAGGGTGAAGGAGAAAATCAAGAAGGTCAGGGAGGCACTGTTGAATTGGAGCAAGTATTTTAAGGCAGGAAATGTCCAGACCATTGCTAACCTTACACTTAAATTGGAAGAAATGAGAGCAGCAGGAGGTGACAGAGATTGGGAGGTGTGGGAGAGATTGAAGAATGAGTTGGATGAGGCTAACTGTTCTGAGGAGATGTTTTGGCAACAGAAGGCAAGGGCTTTGTGGCTGAAGGAAGGAGATAGGAACTCGAAGTTCTTTCATGCTTACACTGCTCAAAGGAGGAAATTGAACTCAATTGATAGACTTCTTACATCTGAAGGGATTATGACCCAGAACCCTAAGGCCATTGAGAAAACGATAACTGACTTCTATGAGCAACTGTTCACATCAAAAGGCTGTTCTGATGGTCATGAACTGCTACCTTGCATACAACCTACTGTCAATGAGGAAATGAATCAATTGCTTATTGCTCAGTTGATGAGTCCACAATTCAGCAAGCAGTGTTCAGTATCCATCCTGACAAGTCTCCTGGTGAAGATGGCATGACAGGGCTTTTCTACCAGCACTTTTGGCCAATCTTGAGTTCTGATATATGCACAACAGTTAGAAGTTTCTTTGAATCTGGGCAGATGTTGAGGTACTGGAAACACTCCCTTATCACTTTTATTCCCAAATGTGCCAATCCTGTCTCTATTACTCAATTTAGGCCTATTAGCCTCTGTGCTATCTTTTATAAAGTAATAGCCAAAATTTTGGGAATGAGATTGAGGCAATGCTTACCTGTCTGTATCTCTGAGAATCAGAATGCATTTTTACCTGGGAGGCAATTGGTTGATAATGTGATTCTTGGTCATGAAGTTTTCCACTTTTTAAACAGACATAGGAATGGGAAGAATTGCTTCTTAGGCCTTAAACTTGATATCATGAAAGCTTATGATTGTGTTGAATGGAAAGCTATCCAGTTGACTATGGTGAGAATGGGTTTTCATAGACAGTTTGTGAAGTGGGTGATGGCTTGTATTCAGTTTCCTACCTTTTCCTTTAACATCAATGGCAGGTGTTGTGGCTTTGTTTCTGCTTCTAGGGGAATTAAGCAAGGGGATCCCTTATCCCCCTACTTATTCTTAATTATCTCGGAATTGCTATCAGCAAGAATACTTGTGGAAGCTGAAAGGGGTGGATTCAGAGGGGTTAGGATAGCAAGAGGGAGTCCTACTCTTACTCATTTGATGTTTGCTGATGATACCCTGGTTTTCTGTAAGGCTAATGAGGCTCAGATTAGGAAGTTGCTTCTTATTCTTCAACACTTTCAGAATTTTACTGGGCAACAAGTCAGTATGGGGAAGTCTACTATATTCTTTAGCAGAAACACACCAGTGGAAATTCAGAATAATATTTGTGCTATGCTGCCTGGGATTCAGAGACATACTTCTACAAGGTATTTAGGCCTACCATTGGGGATAGGAAGGTCCAAAAAAGAAGCTTTTCAGTATATTTTGGAGGTAGTCAGGACTAGAATTTTCAGTTGGAAGAACAAGTGGTTGTCAACAGCTGGGAAGGAGGTGTTAATTAGAACAGTCATTAATGCCTTGCCAGTGTTTGCTATGTCATGTTTTATTCTTCCACCTGGGTTATGTAAGGAGATTTCATCTGTATGTGGTCAGTTTTGGTGGAGCAAAGGGGCTGATTTTCAGAGAGGAATGCATTGGGTGGACTGGAATAAACTTACATTGCCTAAAAAGTTTGGAGGGTTGGGATTTCAAGATATCCAACTATTCAATACTGCCATGATTGCTAAACAACTGTGGAAGGTGGTTGCTGAGCCTGATAGATTGGTAAGTAAAGTGTTGAAGTCTAAATACTTTCCTAATTCTTCCCTGTTTGATGCTCAGAAATCTCAGAATGCTTCATGGATGTGGAATAGTTGGCTAACAGCATTGCAAGAATGTGGGAGCTGGATGAAAGTGGAGGTTAAGAATGGCAAGAGCCTTAGAATTTGGGATAAACACTGGATTCCTGATTTTATTGGCCAAGAAGTCCAGCTTTTACCTGGAGTGGAGAGGGACATTCATTGGGTTAGTGACCTTCTGCAAGAGGATGGAAGAGGGTGGGATGAGGTTAAAGTTAGAGCCACTTTCACAACAGACTTCTGTAATTCTATTCTGAGTATAAAGTCTCTGAAACCTGATCAAGAAGACTTCTGGAAATGGTCATTAGACAGGAAAGGGAGGTTCAGTGTCCAGTCCACATATGCTAAGCTTGCTACAGAAAAATTTCTCAAACAGAATTCAGTCCAAGGGAGCAGGGATATCCAGGAAGATATTAAGGTTAGAACCAGAACTTGGAGGCTTAATGTAATGGGGAAGCTCAAACATTTCATTTGGAAATGCTGCAATGGTTCTTTACCTGTTAACCTTCAGCTGAGGAATAGAGGGATAGGGGTTGATCCAATTTGCAGCTTATGTGGGGAAGAAGGAGAATCAATAGTGCATGTGTTGTTTCAATGCAGGTATGCTGCTGCAGTTTGGAAGCTGGCTCAAGTTTGCTGGGATGGACCAAAGGAGAATGAGTCCTTCAAGCAATGGTGGTGGCAGATTTGCCATTTGGACAAATGTGAGACTTCTGAAGCTAGGATTCAACTGTCTACCTACATTATGTGGTGGCTTTGGAAGTCTCGCAACTTGTGGGTGTTCGAGAAAGTGCATAGACCTCCATTCTTTGTTGCCAGAGCTGCTACAAGGGACTGGGAAGCTTTTGTCCAAGGCAGTAGATGTTAGGTGTGTTTTTCTTTCTTTTCCTTTGTGGTTAGTTTGTAGTTGCAGGTTTTTTGTTTGTGAGCTGTGTGTTAGTGTTTTGGTGCAGCTGTTTATGTGTGTGGTTGTAGGTGGAGGTTTGTTAGTGGTTCTTATGTTTGTCTTGTGAGTTGGTTTTGGTTTGGTTCGAGTTAGAGGTAAAGGCTCAGTTGAGGGTAACTGCTTTACCTCTAATGTGTTTAGGGTTGTTGTTGTCTCCTTTTGTTGTTGTTCTAGCCCATCTGTGATGGTGCTCTCACTTGCCGGATATTATGATGTACTCAGTTTTATTTATGAAGAGCG